AAATCCTTTCATATAAATTCAATATAAAATATTCTTTACTATAGTAGGGAGAAAATTAAAAACATTTTTAAGACGCGTAAATAATTGTTAAATCTGTTACAATTTAACCAAAAATTTTCTCAACACAAAAAACAAAACCTTACTAATAAAATAAATATTAAAAACAAATGTAACAATTTTTTTTTCCTACTTCTAAGTCCAATAAAAACATGGTTCAATCCCACACAATTATTTTTGCAATTAACCATATTTTTTTCCATCCTTATTCGTTTTTATACAACAAAAGCTTTAATTATTTCAAGAATCAACTTATACATTTAGCACATCTGTTTCAATAATGATAAAAATGATCACTTGTTCCCACAAGAAAATTGTTAAAAAAAAAACAGCAAGAAAAAAAAAGGATATTTCTTTGCAATCACAATTATAATTTCCTTATACATATTATATAAGTAAGTAGGTTATTTTCGAATTAGAATTTAAAAATAAAGGGTACAAAAATCGTTATTTTATAATATTATTATTTATATAACTCATCCTTTCTTTTTGTAATGTAAGGGATGTAGAACAATTAAGAAAAAGGAATCTTAAATTCAAAAATTTTATCTAATGTTAAAAAAATATCGTTAAAAATGTTCACTTTTTTTATGAATAAAACTATTAAAATGTTTGATAATCTAACAAATGAATAAACTTCTTTTACAAAAAAACAAGAATGTGTACTTAATTGTATACACAATGCACATTGAAAACAAAATCTATTAATTTCGCCTTCACTATAAAATACAAAAATATGGAACCCTTTTTTCAAAAACAGAGAAAAAAAAATTGTAAAAAATAAAAAAAAAAAAATCTTCTCTGCAACAAATCGTCCATCGTCTATAAAAATTTTGCTTTTTAAAAAGTGTGCTCTACATTTGTCTTGCTCTTTACTTGGCAACACTTCTTTTCTTCTATACACAACGTGCATCATACGTATATTTCACCTATTTCTTATCATCTGGAATATCGCCGCGCTTCATGAAATATTAAAAAAAAATATTTTTTTGTTTTTATGTATAATGCTACTCTATTACATTATAATGTATGTAAATGTAAGTGGTAAATGATTTTGGACTTGAGAAGATATTAACATATCAGATATACATACTTGCATATAAACATTAACATACAGCATACATGAAATATAAAATACAATTCATAATGCGTTCACCCCTATTCTTTCACTGCTATTTTTATAATATTTCGAATTCATTTTCGATAAAGAAATTTTTAAAATAATAAAGTATGACTTTCGATAACAAAATAAACACACATGGGGACTAGAATACTACAGTATGTAATATATATATATATATATCTATATATTCAGGCATACAAAATTAATATAGAATTTACACAAGAGACATGTTTTCGTTTCTATTTTATTTGAATGATAATTTTTAATTCAGTGGCGCATGCGATTCTGTAGATTTATTAATAATTTTCATTTAAATATATATTTTACTCACATGCGTACATGTTTTATGTATATATACAGATTTTTGAATGTGTTAGTTATACATTTCAAAATGTATATGTATGAGTAAAAATATAAAAATAGAGGGAAACCCTAAGGATATAAAATATTATAGTTTTTATTTATTAAATGTTAACGTCTATAATGTAAAATAATATCTTATTATAAATAAAAACAAAAACAGGGTGTCGTCTAATGAAATTTAATTCTATATTGTACTCTATTTCAAATAGAAGGAATTAGAAATACAGGTTTACTATTAAAGTTTGAAAATTGCGTTGGGTATGTTTCGTACTATATACAATAAAAAGTAAATTAAATTTGTTGGGTATATTGTTGTTCTTAACTTATTCACCACTTAAATTCATTAAAACAAATCGAAGTGAATGAGATGGAGTTGAAATAGGAGGAAAGGCGTTAAAATAGAAGAGTCGGAGTTTGAAATAGATGAGATTCGTAATTAGAGACGAAGTTAGTTCGGGTTTCGGAGTGAAATAATTTTAAAATTCGGGTAAACTATGTGACGTTAACTATGTGATAAAAATGAATCACTTTGTAAATATTTAACATAAAAATAAAAATGGAACTAACAAAATAAAATGCATCAAATCCAATAAAAATAAAGGGCTTAGTTGAAGAAGTATAACACAACAAGAACTATATAAGAGAATAAAGAAAAAACTTTGTGGAAGTATCATTGTACGAGTGTTCACTCTCAAATAATTTAATTTTTTCTTCATTTACTCTATTATATACGCAAACAGAAACGAAAACGCGTTTGAAACTTTTTCTGGAATCATAAGGGCATAACGGATAATTTCCTTATCACATATCTAAATAGACTAAAATGTAAATAAGATATATGTATGTACATATATGTACTAAAAATATATAACTTGAGTAAAGGTACACTTAAGTACAGTATAGTAGAATAGCGTGAAATAATAAAAGCATATATGTATGCATATACACACAATGTTATTGTACATAACACATATGTATATATTGAAGAAATAACTTGAAAAACTGGAAAGAAATTAATGATATTATTTAAAATAGCACTTAGGTTTTTTATGATCAATATATTTTTTTACAATAAGTAGTTAAATATGATGGTTAAAATAATAATAGTTAAAAAAAATAAAGAAAATAATAAAACTGGGTTTAAAATAAATATTATTCAATTTTTGCTAAATATAAAGAAAATACATAAATTTTATAAGGATTCTCCATGTGGACACTGGACATTTATTTTGTTTTACTTGAATGCAAACAGTAAGAAAAAAGAAATATAATGTAAAAAAAACTGATCAAACTTAATTACAAGAAATAAAAAAAAAACAAAAATAACCTGTTAAACTCGTATTTTTTTTTTTCTCCATCTTTGTGATATTATTTACTGGGGTGGTCACCGTCACACTGTTTTACGATTTTGCTATACAAATGCGTTAAAGATAAAGAAGAAATTAATGTATATATATCTGTACGTAATTTCGTATAGAATTTCTAAATAACAGTAAGATTTTGAATAATATTTGCTAATTTTACAACTTTAATTTATTTATAGCACTTTAAGCGGGAAATCAGATTCGAAATCTAAACGAAATCATAAATTGTTTAAATCACATACTATACTACGTGGCTTTTGCGCAAGTATGTAAATTTATGTATAAAGATTTTATTACAGCGTGATATAACAATTTTACTTAATTATTTGATTTAATGAAAAATTTTTCGAAAATACAAATTCGAAATTATTTTTCGAATAAGAGGAAAAGAATACTTTCAATTTAATTGATTTTAGTCTGAAATTTGAATTTTATTATTTAAAATTAATAAAATGCATGATACCACCTAGAAATTTCAATTTTTTTAAAAGCGTTTGACGATTCTGCATTATACAAAATTATTTTTGCTTTAAGTGATCGAATTTTCATCTTTTTGGTGGATGCTAATACGAGTATAGCGATAAAAATAATTCCGTTCATACAAAAATTAATTCACTTTCAGAAAGTATAAGCAAAATTTATTCGAAATATTTATGATATTAATATTTATAATGAATTAAAGGTGCAGTGTTTCAATTTATTTAACAAACGCTTAAATCATAAAAAAATTGTTTTCCTTTTTCATAATCCGAAAATTTTAGTTTTAAATAAATTATTGTTATATGTACTTGTTTTTTTAACAAACACATATGAAACTTAAATAACAAATTTTATATAACAAAATTATTTTTATAATGAAAAGTACAATTATAACCCTTACCCGTATATTAAACGCACACACTTAAATGAACGCTATCAAATATATTTTAACAAGTTCTTTTAATTCATGATCCAACAATATTGCACCCCTATTTTTTTGTCGTTTAAGCTATTTTTCATGCATACTAGTAAAATATTCCACTAACACATTAGAATTATTTATTTGATTAAAAATATGTACATATACATGTAGGTACATACGAACGAAAATATAAAGCATTAAAGAAGGTGAAAAGTATGTTAAAATTTACTTCCAACTACGTTATACAATTTTCTTCTAAATAGCAGTGGTTTTTAGTGATCAAAAATTAACGATTTTTAATATTTAACAGGAAAATAATTATCGCATGTGTATATATGTATCATAAAAGTATTTGTCCTTCGTCCATTAATTCGTGTGTGAGGTGCGCGCGCATTTTTTTCTTCTTATAGTTCATATATCATATTATTTATTTAATTCATGCTTGCACGTTTTAATGTATATTGGTGCAGAATATATGCACATACATATACACCTATGTACATAATATTAAATTTTTTAATTTGTACGATCTTATTTCTTTTATGTTATTCCTGTAGATTTTCACCCTTCAAATAAAAATATAAAGTAAAAAAATATTCGAGCATATCGTCAACTGAATATTTAAATGATAAGTTATAATTTTATTATGAAAACAAAAAAAAAGAAGAAGAATAACAACAAAACCAGTAGAAAATAATATAATGTTTAAACGTTGACGATAACGGCAGCTGTTCTACATTTTTTACCGCATTATAGGTTAATAACCATTATGAATTACATGCATGTAGTAGTAATGTAAATAAACTTATAAAACATTATCATGAAAGTAAAATTAACTCTACATTAAATCAGAAACTAATGTTTGTGTTTTTGTATATAAATATAAAACTCTGAAAATATGAATGAATAACCGTTAAATACATAACATTAATGATAAAAATAAAATATTCAAGGACTTAAACACATACATGTAGCTTAAGAGAAATCTAAACCACAGGAGAGAGTAGTTCTCAGTTTACTTAAATAGTTACTTAGTAAAATTCAAATATTTTATATAATATTAACCGTGTTCCTTTTAAGGGCGGATAATATTCTTATCTAATCAAGAGATGTTGGAAATTTAGATAAAAAAATTATTCTTACTAATTTATTAAATTTAATTCTTAATAAAAGAAAACAAAAAATTACTTACCGGCCATGCGAAATTAAATTGAAATGGTATTGGATTTAAAAATCCAATTGGTTGTTGACTATTACTGCTAGTATTATCCAAATTACTATTATTGTTATTATTATTATTGTTATTGTAATTATTATTATTACTATTATTATTAATATTACTGTTATTATTATTACCGTTGTTATTATTGTGATTAATATTACCGTTATTATTATTGTTATTATTATTGTTAATATTATTATTATCACTAGTTAAATTTGTTTGTAAATTTATTGAATTTTCACCTAATATGGGTGTATATACATCACCAAATGTACATTGTGATGTTATATCAATTTTTGCTTGATAATGTTTTAAACAAACACGAAAACGTGTCTTACATGTACCCGTACAACGATTCGTTAATGGATCAATATGACCACTACAACATTTACCTTCATTATCACGTCCTAGTTCATTACTAAAATATTTTAATCTAAGTTCAAATATACCGGAACTTTGAACCTGCAATAAAATAAAAAACAGAAATTAATTTCATTTAATAAAAAGTTATTGTGTTAAATATAGGTAAAACATGATGAGAAATATATGTAAATTTTTGGATGCATAATTATTTTACTTAATTTTTCTTTAATAAATTAATTTTAACCATAATATTATATGAAAATAATAATCATAATACATACAATCATAGTATAAAGCTCATAAATATCTAACAAACAACCTTTTAATCCAGATCGAAATTCAATATTTGATCAAATTTTGAGAAAACTTTCTCATAGTTCTAATATACTACGCAGAGCCTGTATTGCTATATTAATTGTATAATTTTAATAACACTAAACATTATAAAATAATATTTCTTCAACTTGAATCAAATTGAATATGAACAATTTCTAAATTTTATGCTTTATGTCGGTATATATACCATATTACCCATTAAATTTGTATTTGTTGAAAAAACATTTAAAATTGCCTTGTATTTTAATTAAATAGTCATAATAAATTAAATAAATTTCCTCGAAATATTTTTTTGTTTATTTTTAGATCAAAAATTTTTTTTAAAATTCAATATGAGAGAGTAAAACTGTTTTTCATTCAATACACAAATTAGTTATAAATTTAAAAAAAAAAACAGAAAATACACAGAAAAAAATTCGTTTCATTTATTAAAAATAAAAAATGTGAAATTTTCTATGATTCACAGAAAACTGGCACCCTCATACATATTATATATTGGACTATCTGTATTGTATATAAGTAAATTTCTCTTATATACAAACTTGTACTAATTTATAAAATTCAAAGAATTCGGAAGGTATATTTTATGACATAATAAATTTTGTTTGAAATTTATTTAAAAAATTTAGTTCAAGTAAAATATCGGAATGATAGTTATTTTAATAATTGTCCATTTATTTAATATGTGTGACAAATAATTCGAACTCCAATTAAAATCTCTAAATTAAACAAAATTTTTAAATTAGTTTTTAAATTAACAACATCAAAACTTATTTAAACACACTTGACTACAAAGACAACAAAAATTTTATAAGTATATATGTACTTCTTATTATTTATGGACTACTAAGAGCAGTCTAGAAAATGATGAATGAATGAGTGGTAACTAGAGTTTTCAATATTGTAATTTTTTTGTAATACAGACTTTATTACATACTTCAGATGCCCATATTCTCGTATTTAGCAAAAAACAAATCACAATACCTACATTCATCAATACTTTTATAATAATTTTAGTATGTATAAGCAAGTACAGTATTTATAAAAATCTGCGAATGTCAAATTAATTTCAATCAATTTTAATGGTAAATTTGACACAATAAAAAAGAATAATTACTTAATGACATGAAAATAAGAAATCGAAAAAAAAAAAAATTTGCCAAAAATAAAATTTTATAAAGAAATTTTTATATTTCGTTTTTTCTCAAAATTTTAAAATTGTACTAAATACATTGTATAATAAATCAATCAATGACTACAAAATAATTTCTTGATATTTTTATGTAAAGAATTGACAATATCAAAGATATACCCATATACATATATGTACACATTTTCGACTGAGTAACCAAGTAAGTAGTTTTAAGTATGAAATGATATATTTTAATCGCTCTTCATTCTTTACTTGTACTTTTTTTTTGTATAGCTATTTCAACAATATTCTGAATAAATTCTTGTTTTACGAATACATCGTATTGTATTTATGTCGACACACAATACATAAATCAATCACTTAGTGCCAAATTTAGTAATAAATTGTGCTACTTAAAAAAAAAAGATTTAAAAAATAAAACAGCAGCGACAACAGCAGCATTTTTTTTTAAAGATTTTATGTACATTTAGACAATCATATATGTATATGTACAGTAGGATGATATGTAGCGGCACAGCAGATGAACATGACAAATCAAAGTATTAAAAAAAATAAAAACAGCCAAAAAGAAAATCAAATTAAAACATTAATAAAATTAAAACAAAAATCAATTCGAATTTCAGAATGACAATAAATTATACAATTAATGAATCAATTCGAATTTCGAACATGCAGAATTGATTTTTTTTGTTCTTTTTTTGGGCAAGTATGAACGGAGTATTATTATATATATTTCTCCACCCTCATAAATCACGCTTTTCTTTTCGAATATCGAACCAATATTTTTTTTTTTTTTGAAGAATTTTTGTTCTTTTTCTTTTTGCAATAAATTTTATAATCACGTTCATCGAAATTTTTATTTCTCTTTCTTTTTATTATCACATTTTTCTTTGAGAGAACGCATTTAATTGTACAAAATATTCAAAAAAAAAAAAAATTAATCAAATAATCGTTATCATCATCATCATGGGGACGATCCTCATTCATGTACTTTTACAGAATGGTAAAGCACAACAAAAATTAACAATAAATAATGATAACGCGAAAAATAAATATGTCAAAAAGTAAAATGATAATAAAAAATAAAAATAAAAAAATAAAAAAGGCAAAAAAATTTCACGATTTTTACTTTAAAATTTTAAATTCTCACATTAAATTTTTAATAACGAACAAGAACTGTTTAAATATATAATCAAATATGTTTGTTTGTGTGATTGTATGTTGATTTATTTAATTTTTATGATGGCAATGCTCTAAATACAAATTAATTTAAAGAAATTGTGCATTTCTCCTTCATTCTTCAGAAATTTCTTTCAACAAAGTGAAATTTTTTAAAATTAATTGAATAATAATAAAAAAAAAATTATTATTTATTCAATTATAATTTTCGGAGCATTAAAAGAGAAATATTAAATATATTTTTTTTATTTTTGTTCTGAAAAAAATTTTGATTTATGTACTTTTCTCTCAATAGAGAATTGAGTAGAGTTTGAGTCATGATGATTTTGAGTCTTTTTTTTTTCTTGCTCAATGTTTAAATAGAAAAATAGAATTTTATCGTTATTCTCATTTTATGTTTTGTTATTCACCTTACTCTAAATATTTTAAAAATTAAATGAGTGGAAATTAAACAATAATTGTATTTTCATTAAATGGAATATTTAAGTATTTTAAATAGCGGCATTAAAAATTTTTGCGAGTACAATATTTTGAGTCAAATTTTAAATATATCGATTTTAAAATAATTTTTTATTTATTTTAATTAAAACTTCTATAAACGAGATTATGTATCATAAAATTACAGAAATATTTTACTTGAACAAATCATAGTGATTAAATTGAGTTAAAAAAATAATAATTATTTTGTTATGCATATGTGTACGGGTTATTAAAAATAAATGAGTATTTTTATATGAGTTACATGCAATAATATTTGGTTTACTTATATGATTAAAATTTCATACTTAAAATTATATTAAAGACTTAAATCCATAAAAACATAATAAATTTGTTGTATACCTATATAATCAACATTAATTAAATAATTCATTTATTAAATAATTCATATAAATACATAATATATGCATAATATATTCGTTCATTCATAAATTCATTCATTAATTTCATTCATTTGCAAAAAAAAAATAATTTATTCACTCATTATAAAATATTTTTTGAATGTTTATGCGAATTTAATTTTTTTTTTCATTCTTTCCTTTTGAGTGATTTTTTTTAATGTTTTTTATTGTTTTAATTCAGTAATAACGTAATAATTTGCAAATATCTAACATAAAACACAAAAAAAAAAAACAATAGTTAAAATAAAATAATTTTACGCTTTTTTATTCTTCTAAAAAAGAAAAAACAAAACCACGTTATGCTTTGTTTGTTTTTTAACCTGTTGTATACTGAGCACATACATACACGTACTCATATATACAACATAAGTGTATATTAGTTATGAAATTTGAATAAATTAATTAATTATCAAAAGTATGTATGAATTTAAAATACGTGTATAAATTCAAAGTATATTTCTAAGTTATGCAAAAAAGTATGTATGTAAATTATACTTCCTGTCAAAAAATTTTTGCAATATGATTCAAAACTAAAATATAATCTTTAAACTTACGATCAAATATTTCATATGATTCGAGATCAGTAAGAAAGAATAATGAAAGAATAGTAGCAAACATTTAATGAACCTGACCTTTAATTAATTAAAATAAAAAAAGAAAAAATAAATGTTAAAATAGAAAAATGTCTAATAAAGAAAAAAAAATTATTCACTCAATTTATAGCATAAATCCATATTTGTAAAAGTAAAAACGAAAAAAAAAGACAATAATAAGAAAAAAATATATGGAAATACATGGGAAATGTTATGAAAACCTCGTTTATAATTTATGAATCATTTTATATACGCTTAAGTGGAAAAAAAGCAAAACAAGACAAAAATTAAAAATTTTTTCCAAATTTCAATCGGTGAATTTTATTCACATTAAGAAGACAAAAAAAAAACCTTTCTAAGAATCAAAAATTAATTTAAATTAAATTGAGCCCACCCGCATTTAAAATTGATGACAACAAACTTTAAACTAATTTTTTCTTTTTAAAAGACTTTTCTAATGAAAATATCAATTTTACTCATTATACAGAACATATAAAAAAATTCGCAAAATCAACTCATTATTAATTAATTAATTTTAATAGTATACGTATATGTTACAGTGAAATCTATATTTTCAATACCACACACCGATTTTTTAAAAGTGTGCCATAAAATGGAAAGTATACTTATAATTTACTGATACTTTTATATTTGAACGAAGCCCAAATTATTGAAGATTGAGCGCAAGCTAATAATAGAACGACCTCTTAAAATAGCATTATTCTCTTACTACCTTCTAATATAAGTAGGTCAATATATAACTTTTATTAAACTTAATTTAATTATAAATTCATTTAATAATATTTTTAAATTTGACTTCATACTGTACTACTTATACACATTGAGAAATTATGACACTTTTAAATTAGTAATATTTTTAAAATAACTCGTAAATATTTTCAACTATGATAGCAATACAAATATAAAATTATTTTTCAA